CGCTGGTACTGGAACTGTACTCCTACGCAACCCTGAATCTGTTTCTCTCTACGACATCCAGCAGAAAATGTTAGAGTTATTATTTGTCTTTTTGCTCAAGTTGGGAGATGGTTCGCTTTAACTTTAACATCGTCTTTATTACGTACAGGCTTAAGACTCTAGGTACCATCTGTTGTTAGTTCCATTTGTTTATTACGTAAGCGTTTTTTGCCGATTGTGGGCTCTGGTGATGCACTTTTGTGTAAGGGTTGGGTCGGGTTGTGTTCATACGATAAATTACATTAGCGTAATCGTAGAAAAAGGACTAACTGGGTTGAAGCCTACTGATTACGCCATAAGTAACACATGCCCATATAATGCAAATGGTGTCACGAGATAAGTAACACATGTCCATATAAGGGTGTCACGTGATAAGTAACACGTGCCCTTATAAGGGTGTCACGAGATAAGTAACACATGTCCATATAAGGGTGTCACGTGATAAGTAACACGTGCCCATATAAGGGTGTCACGTGATAAGTAACACATGCCCATATAAGGGTGTCACGTGATAAGTAACACGTGCCCTTATAAGGGTGTCACGTGATAAGTAACACATGCCCTTATAAGGGTGTCACGTGATAAGTAACACATGCCCATATAAGGGTGTCACGTGATAAGTAACACGTGCCCATATAAGGGTGTCACGTGATAAGTAACACGTGCCCTTATAAGGGTGTCACGTGATAAGTAACACATGCCCATATAAGGGTGTCACGTGATAAGTAACACATGTCCATATAAGGGTGTCACGTGATAAGTAACACGTGCCCTTATAAGGGTGTCACGAGATAAGTAACACATGTCCATATAAGGGTGTCACGTGATAAGTAACACATGCCCATATAAGGGTGTCACGTGATAAGTAACACATGTCCATATAAGGGTGTCACGTGATAAGTAACACATGCCCATATAAGGGTGTCACGTGATAAGTAACACGTGCCCATATAAGGGTGTCACGTGATAAGTAACTCATGCCCATATAAGGGTGTCACGCGATAAGTAACACGTGCCCTTATAAGGGTGTCACGTGATAAGTAACACGTGCCCATATAAGGATGTCACGTGATAAGTAACACATGCCCATATAAGGATGTCACGTGATAAGTAACACATGCCCATATAAGGGCGTCACGTGATAAGTAACACATGCCCATATAAGGGTGCCACGTGATAAGTAACACGTGCCCTTATAAGGGTGTCACGTGATAAGTAACACGTGCCCATATAAGGGTGTCACGTGATAACTAACACATGCCCATATAAGGGTGTCACGTGATAAGTAACACATGCCCATATAAGGGTGTCACGTGATAAGTAACACATGCCCATATAAGGGTGTCACGCGATAAGTAACACATGCCCATATAAGGGTGTCACGTGATAAGTAACACATGCCCATATAAGGGTGTCATGTGATAAGTAACACATGTCCATATAAGGGTGTCACGTGATAAGTAACACATGCCCATATAAGGGTGTCACGTGATAAGTAACACATGCCCATATAAGGGTGTCACGCGATAAGTAACACATGCCCATATAAGGGCGTCACGTGATAAGTAACACGTGCCCATATAAGGGTGTCACGTGATAAGTAACACGTGCCCATATAAGGGTGTCACGTGATAAGTAACACATGCCCATATAAGGTTGTCACGTGATAAGTAACACATGCCCATATAAGGGTGTCACGTGATAAGTAACACATGCCCATATAAGGGTGTCACGTGATAAGTAACACATGCCCATATAAGGGCGTCACGTGATAAGTAACACATGTCCATATAAGGGTGTCACGCGATAAGTAACACATGCCCATATAAGGGCGTCACGTGATAAGTAACACATGCCCTTATAAGGGTGTCACGTGATAAGTAACACATGCCCATATAAGGGTGTCACGTGATAAGTAACACATGCCCATATAAGGGTGTCACGTGATAAGTAACACATGCCCATATAAGGGTGTCACGCGATAAGTAACACGTGCCCATATAAGGGTGTCACGTGATAAGTAACACATGCCCATATAAGGGTATCACGTGATAAGTAACACGTGCCCATATAAGGGTGTCACGTGATAAGTAACACGTGCCCATATAAGGGTGTCACGTGATAAGTAACAAATGGTGACATCTGGACTGTGTTAGCTGTCTATTCAAGGCTAAGTGAAGATGTTTATATTAAGGCTGGGGGTTCACCCTGAATTTTTTGTGAAACTTGGTTTCGATATAGCAGTTGACCAACAAACTAGGACCGGTGACCGAACTTTTGAGGGGGTCCCGGACCCCAACCGCCAAACGGTGCCCGCGGGGCAGCCACGCCCATATTTGGTCCAAATTAGGCCCAATTTAGCCAAATACCCGATTGGGCGACATCTGTCCGAAAGCGACATCTGTCCGAATCAGAAAATATGTTATTTGGACAATAGTTTATGTCGGATCCTACCGTACGATTTTCTTAAAACTTTCCATAAAGTATGGTGGTTATATGACGAATAATATGTGTAAGTTTGAGCGAGTTTCTATGAGCCAAGTTTAAGATATTACCTTAACCGCAAAAAATATATCCAATTCGGTGGTACTCAGTGGTTCCAAAGCATATATCTGGAGATCCAACGATACGATTTTCTTGAAAATTCTTCAAACTTACACATATTATTCGTCCTATAACCACCATACTTTATGGAAAGTTTTAAGAAAATCGTACGGTAGGATCCGACATAAACTATTGTCCAAATAACATATTTTCTGATTCGGACAGATGTCGCTTTCGGACAGATGTCGTGTTACCAAATACCCTGAACATGCCCAAAACCCAGATTTTAGGTGCTCTACTTGTAGCTAGTGGTCCCCTGAACTCGTATATGAATTTTAATGAAGATTGGACAAAAAATGACTGAGTTATGAGCTAAAAACTATATGCCCATATTTGGGCATACGCACTAAATTTGATCGATTTTGGCCCATAAATAGGTCAAATATCAATATTTTTGAATGAAACCAACTTAATAAGAAAGGTAAGCCTAAACTACACATTCTCTATGATTATCAGCTCAATATCTACCTAACTGTGGATTCTGTGTTCAAATAGTTGCAAAAAATGAACCAAATCGCCCATATCTCAGTTCGCGATATTTGCAAAACTGACTTCGCTCAAAACAATAGAACTCAATAGGGTTTCAATATTTTTTCATGAAATTTTCAGAATCAACGTAGAATCGCCTCATGACCTTAAGTTTTGTATTAGAATTTTGAGTTAGGCCTTTAAAAAAATTTGGCGGCCAAATTCTGAAATTTGCCGGGCATTTTTCAGAATTTGGCCGCCAAATTTTTTTAAAGGCCTAACTCAAAATTCTAATACAAAACTTAAGGTCATGAGGCGAATCTACGTCGATTTTGAAAATTTCATAAAAAAATATTGAAACCCTATTGAGTTCTATTGTTTTGAGCGAAGTCAGTTTTGCAAATATCGCGAACTGAGATATGGGCGATTTGGTTCATTTTTTGCAACTATTTGAACACAGAATCCACAGTTAGGTAGATATTGAGCTGATAATCATAGAGAATGTGTAGTATAGGCTTACCTTCCATATAAAGTTGGTTTCATTCAAAAATATTGATATTTGACCAATTTATGGGCCAAAATCGATCAAATTTGGTGCGTATGCCCAAATATGGTCATATGGTTTTTGGCTCATAACTCAGTCATTTTTTGTCCAATCTTGATGAAAATTCATATACGAGTTTAGGGGACCACTAGCTACATGTAGAGCACCTAAAATCTGGGTTTTGGGCATGTTCAGGGTATTTGGCTAAATTGGGCCTAATTTGGACCAAATATGGGCGTGGCTGCCCCGCGGGCTCCGTTTGGCGGTTGGGGTCCGGGACCCCCTCAAAAGTTCGGTCACCGGTCCTAGTTGGTTGGTCAACTGCTATCTCGAAACTAAGTTTCATAAAAAAATCAGGGTGAACCCCCCCCCCCCCCCCCCCCCCCCCCCCCCCCCCCCTTAAATGTATTGTGAGATGATAAACTAAAATATTAGATATCTTGAAAGCTATACTTGAATTTGACTGATAACTAATTTCAGTACCGTCGCCTCTGTTCGCATACCCAAAGTGGTGAGAGTGGTTTGGTCTAATGACATGTCTCATCTTGCTCTACTCTGCAAACGAAGTAAGAACTATCTTTATGTTTGATATTTTGTAGTTTATTTGGTATAAGAGAAACTATTTACATGGTGTGATAAGTGACCTGATTACCCTCCAGTTGATTTTCTAGTTTACTTTTATCTCAGCTATCGCAATCTGCAACAGAAAGTTGGAGCTTAAAGCTACCATTCATGAGAGTGTCAAGATCAAGAGTGCTGCCTGGAATGAGCAAGGTAAGATACTGAAAACTACAATTATATACTATATAATGTATATCAGTGAAAAGTTATACTGATAGTTAGTGTTTTACATTTAAAGAAATAGATTTAATAAGGGAAGTATATGTTGGTATACTGTTTTTTGTTTTAGTGATTTTGAAATGTATTACTTGTTATATTAATTGTATGATGAAATGATACCCACTACGTTAGGTGTGTTGATCTACACGACTGCTAACCACATTAAATACACTCTACATAACGGAGATAACGGAATAGTCCGGACTCTAGATCTACCCATCTACATCTCTGCTGTCAAGGTTTGTAAACTTAACACGTGCCCTTATAAGGGTGTCACGTGTAACTTCAGTCCTTTTTTTGCTGGGTTCTTGTGACGTTTTCTTTTTTTCTATGACAACCGTAATATATGGCCGCTGTAAATTGGGGTTTACTGTATTCCGATATTGCATGATTGAAAGTAAGACCATCCAATAAAAATGGCCGAATTGAAGTAATCATATTTGCAGGGTAACAGCGTGTACTATAAGAATTGAAGTAATGATATTTGCAGGGTAACAGCGTATACTGTCTGTAAGAATTGAAGTAATGATATTTGCAGGGTAACAGCGTGTACTATAAGAATTGAAGTAATGATATTTGCAGGGTAACAGCGTGTACTATAAGAATTGAAGTAATGATATTTGCAGGGTAACAGCGTGTACTATAAGAATTGAAGTAATCATATTTGCAGGGTAACAGCGTGTACTATAAGAATTGAAGTAATCATATTTGCAGGGTAACAGCGTGTACTATAAGAATTGAAGTAATCATATTTGCAGGGTAACAGCGTGTACTATAAGAATTGAAGTAATGATATTTGCAGGGTAACAGCGTGTACTGTCTGTAAGAATTGAAGTAATCATATTTGCAGGGTAACAGCGTGTACTATAAGAATTGAAGTAATCATATTTGCAGGGTAACAGCGTGTACTATAAGAATTGAAGTAATGATATTTGCAGGGTAACAGCGTGTACTATAAGAATTGAAGTAATCATATTTGCAGGGTAACAGCGTGTACTATAAGAATTGAAGTAATCATATTTGCAGGGTAACAGCGTGTACTATAAGAATTGAAGTAATGATATTTGCAGGGTAACAGCGTGTACTATAAGAATTGAAGTAATGATATTTGCAGGGTAACAGCGTATACTGTCTGTAAGAATTGAAGTAATGATATTTGCAGGGTAACAGCGTGTACTATAAGAATTGAAGTAATGATATTTGCAGGGTAACAGCGTTTACTATAAGAATTGAAGTAATGATATTTGCAGGGTAACAGCGTGTACTATAAGAATTGAAGTAATGATATTTGCAGGGTAACAGCGTTTACTATAAGAATTGAAGTAATGATATTTGCAGGGTAACAGCGTGTACTATAAGAATTGAAGTAATGATATTTGCAGGGTAACAGCGTGTACTGTCTGTAAGAATTGAAGTAATGATATTTGCAGGGTAACAGCGTCTACTGCCTGTAACAATTGAAGTAATGATATTTGCAGGGTAACAGCGTGTACTATAAGAATTGAAGTAATCATATTTGCAGGGTAACAGCGTGTAATGTAAGAATTGAAGTAATGATATTTGCAGGGTAACAGCGTGTACTGTCTGTAAGAATTGAAGTAATGATATTTGCAGGGTAACAGCGTCTACTGCCTGTAACAATTGAAGTAATGATATTTGCAGGGTAACAGCGTGTAATGTAAGAATTGAAGTAATGATATTTGCAGGGTAACAGCGTGTACTGTAACAATTGAAGTAATGATATTTGCAGGGTAACAGCGTGTACTGTCTGTAAGAATTGAAGTAATGATATTTGCAGGGTAACAGCGTGTACTGTCTGTAAGAATTGAAGTAATGATATTTGCAGGGTAACAGCGTGTACTGTCTGTAAGAATTGAAGTAATGATATTTGCAGGGTAACAGCGTGTAATGTAAGAATTGAAGTAATGATATTTGCAGGGTAACAGCGTGTACTGTAACAATTGAAGTAATGATATTTGCAGGGTAACAGCGTATACTGTCTGTACGAATTGAAGTAATGATATTTGCAGGGTAACAGCGTGTACTGTCTGTAAGAATTGAAGTAATGATATTTGCAGGGTAACAGCGTGTACTGTCTGTAAGAATTGAAGTAATGATATTTGCAGGGTAACAGCGTGTACTATAAGAATTGAAGTAATGATATTTGCAGGGTAACAGCGTGTACTGTAACAATTGAAGTAATGATATTTGCAGGGTAACAGCGTGTACTGTCTGGACCGTGAAGCTAAGCCACGTGTTCTGACTATTGACTCAACTGAGTTCAAGTTTAAACTTGCCCTGGTTGATAAGAAGTATGACGAGGTTAGTATCTGCTACATATATATATAGTGTGTATACTATCCTGCTACCTACACTGGTATCTGCTTCTTTTGCGGAATAATCAATACCGAGCTTCATTACTTTCTTCTTAAAGTTTAAGAATTTTGAAATTTTGAAAATGATCAAAAATTGTTTAGAAGTTAAATTCTTCGGTAAATATTCGTAACCTTGTATCTCATTCTGTCAATCATGTGATTACAGAACCTACACTGGTCACATATTATATCTATATTATACAACTATACCACAGGTTCTGCACATGGTAAGGAATGCTAATCTGTACGGACAAGCTATCATAGCTTATCTACAGAAGAAGGGTTACCCGGAAGTAGCCCTCCATTTCGTAAAGGATCCCAAAACTCGCTTCAACCTGGCTGTGGAGTGTGGCAATATTGAGGTGAGCATAGTTAGGGGGGGGGGGGGGGGTTGCAGCGTTGTGGGGGGGGGGGTTGCAGCGTTCTGAAATTAATTTAGATTATATTTACACATGTAACTTGGTGTCAATCAGCATGCATTTCATTATAATATGAGGTAACTGTAAACAACTCCAGGTTGCAATGTCAGCCGCTCAAACACTGGACGACGCAGCAGTTTGGGAGAAACTCTCACAGATCGCTCTTCAACAAGGCAACCACCAGGTGACTGTTATTCTTAGTATTTGCGTTGAAATATGATCATTTTATTGTAATCCTGTTTGGTAGTTTCAGTTTCGTTGGTGACCAATGACACATGACCTGCTCCAACTAAAATTTACACATAAACTCTATAATAAAGACACATCTCAATACACATGTATCGTGAAGTGCACATCGATCAGAAGAGGGTAAACTAGATGATGTATGCGATGTATACACCGCGCGCGCGAACGCCAAATAGAAATTAGACGTTGCAACATTTTCGTGTTATAGGTTAGCTTGTTTGCGCAAAGGTCTGTCGCGCGCAGCACTTTCGTGATGTGGCAATATGATTATCTTACATGCGTAGTAAGAAAGGTCTATGTGTCTACTTTTTTCTTTCATTCAAGATCCAGTGTCCAACTATTCTTTGCTTCATTTGCTTTGGAGCAATGCTCAAATGGAATCACTAACAATTAAACATATTCCAGGTGGTTGAGATAGCATATCAACGCACCAAGAACTTTGAGAAACTGTCGTTCCTCTACCTTATCACCGGAAATATGGAGAAGTTGAGAAAAATGCAGAAAATAGGTAAGAAATCAGATTTAACAGACGAACCGTACTTCTGAAATCACCTATCAGTCGATTACAAGACTACTGGATGCAGTGGCGTAACGTTAGTGGCTGATTTAACTTGGCGCCCCCCGGCGGCTCGAAAAAGTCGCCCAAATTTTTTGTGTCCCTAAAAAAAATTAAAAAAATTAAAAAAAAGGTCGGGTACCTTTTTTTGGCGCCCCCTACAGCTTTTTTGCGCCCCTGGAGCAAAAAAAGGGCCCCAAAAATTTTTTTCACACCGACTGAGCGCTAAATTGGACAGGGGAATACACCAGGGGCGACCGGGGCAGCGTTACGCCACTGACTGGATGTATGTAATGTATGTAATGGGGATTTTAGTAAATCGATGTGTGGCCCTATTCAAGTATTAACTGTAGGGTACAGCCAAATCCCCCATTTATTTAAAGTACAGTGGTTCCCTTCTCAAGACAAGATGCACAGAATCAGGTACAGGTATATTCTAATAAGATTGATTGGTTGTTGAAAGAAACACCTGGCACAATGTTATGTATTGTCTGCGAGATTTAACGTGCTGATGGAAGTATGATCAAGATGTTCTTGACGAATATTGAACATTAAACTTTCATTTGGGTCAGTCAGTTCTGTTTTTAATTTGTTTCTACCTGTATAGTTATTGATGGAAAAGTTAAAAACAAAAGCGTTTGACATTAAAGATGATAGATCCTAACCGTGATCATAAGAGTTAATGTTCTCTTAAGCCGTAACCACTATAAAGTTGACCGACCTTTTAGAAACTTGTCCTCTCTGGGGTGAAACTCGGTGTAATCTTAACATAGCTCCCAAGGAAGTAGTTCGAGTGGTATTTATCCATTAATGGTGACCATATAATTAATAACGGGTAAGTTGGAGACTTATCCATAATACTTCCATACTCTCGCGTAACCTTTACAGAGCCGAGTGTTGATACTTCATACCTGGGATCATCGTGTAAAACTTCTTTACGTAACATAGGAAGTACTAGGAAGAACTAGGAATAAGTAATTACATTTTATTGAAACCTCGCGTCTGGTTGTGAGCCACATTCTCTGTTGATCCGAATATTGCACACTATAGACGTTAGTCAAACAAACTGTTCATATTGTAACCCAAATAGGACCCTTTGTTTGTAAATATGATGTGGGAGGTCATTCCAGAGTCCAGACACACTCTGTTGAGTACGGTGTGGAGGCACACTCTCGAGGAACGTTTTAGACATTGTTGATTTCATATTCTCTCGGTATTTCTGTACACTAATGATACTGCGACCAACTCTGGCAATAAATCTCGTTTGATGTTTGATTTTAGCTCTTTTGTAAGTAATTTCATGCGACAAAGTTTATGCGGTGTCATGTTATCGCAAAAAGGGGAATCTTTATTTTCCTGGTTATAAAGGTGCAAGAATCAATGTTAATGTAAATCAAACTCCAAAGTCTCCAATACTTTGTTTTGTTAATGTACTTCTCCCTTTGGCGTGGTATCATAATGTTGCAATAGTTTTTGAGTATTCTCAATTATCGTACATAATGTATCACTGGTTTATGTTTTAAAAACTTAAAATGGCTGATATAATCCTTTTGCACATTTCTCCCTGATTAAGTTTATTTCATTAGTTCTGTTAATTGCTGACCGCGTGGTGGCTGATTTTACAACTATATTGGTTATCGTTCCTATCTTTAGTAGGGGGGGGGGGTTTAGTTCACTTTCAACCTTATTTTATCGTACTTTACTGAATACTCTCAAATTGGAGGATATTTCTTTTATGATGGTTAAAGTTTTGTTTACGGTAAATTGAGTATTATTATAATCTTCCAATATCAGTTCTCAATGTCGGCGGAATCAAATACGACGGTCAAGATGCCGATCAACTCTTCAGAGGAAGACGAATCAGGAGAATTAAACGAATTAATATCAAAAGCCAAAGCTCCTAAATCAGGCCTGGCAGCAGTTGACTTTAAAAACTTGAAATGGACGAGAAAAGACGTTCACCTCACAATTCTGATGACTCTGATAACCTTCGGAGATGCAGTTGAGATCTACCTGCCTGGAGTGATCACCCAGGCTGCCTCAAGTGAGATGGGAGTATCCCACACGCAGGAGGGACTACTCGGTATCATCCTCTACCTGTGTCTGGCTCTCTCTTTCTTCGTCCTCCCGGCTATAAAGAACAAGATGGGGAGGAAGACGGCACTACTAGTGTCTCTCTACACCTCTATCCTAGCCACAGTGTTCTGCTCCCTTGTCCCCAACTACTGGACCCTCGTAATCTCCCGCGCCTCACTAGGCCTCTGTATTGGACTAAACTGGTCGGTGGGTGGCCTCTATTTCGCGGAGGAGATCTCTAACTACGATATGTACAATATCGGAGGAGTAACCAGGGCCTTTGCTTTTACCTTGGGAGGAGGGTGGGTGGCAGTGCTGGGGTACCTCCTACTGGAGAAGGTGGGGTGGAGGTACTTCATAGTCTGTACTTCTCTCCCTATATTCCTCCTACCCATCTGCATGCTGCACTTTGGTCTTAAAAGAGAAGAGAAAACGGAGGAAATAGAGGACAGGACAGATAAGGAGGTGATAAGAGTAAGAGGGTTCCTAGGTCGCCTAGTTAGAGGGTGTATAGTGAACTTTATCAACATGTTACAGGGGTGGGGCAGCATTCTCCTCATACCAGCGCTCCTTACCTACCTAAACAAAGAGGAACCTAATCTGAGGCTGACTACAGATCAAGAGCTACTTATTCTAGCGCTACTATACGGAGGAGCTAAACTCATTGGTAGGATCCTAAGTGTGTTCCTGTTGAAGTATGTTAGGTTCAGAGTGCTGGAACCACTGTTATCTGCCATCATAGCATCCTGCTACTTGACTCTTATCTTGGAGAGTAACAGCCTGTTTGTCACTGTGGTTGCTATGGGGATAGCAAATATGTGTTTCTGTGTGACGCGGTGTGAACTGACCCTCATGGAGTTTGATAAGCACTACTTTGGGACAGAGCGGCTTGTTCTGGCGGCGGGGGTGATGGCTGGGTGCGCCATGTTGGGCGCTGCAGTCGGCGCTATTGTAGCCTCCTTCCTGAGCAGCCAACATGCTGTCATCTTTACTTTTGTACTGAGCTGTATTCAAGTGGTCACATTCTGCTGCATCACTGAACGATAAGATGAACCTTTAACTTGCTCTCGTCACTGATAGTTATTCAATGTCATTCTGTGGATTAACAAAGTGGTTTATCGCAATTATTTTTCCCGCATTTTTATGTCCTTAACAGTTATTGTTCAGCTCGTTTTGTAGATGACAGAAAATTAATTATTGCGCTGTTCATTTGGCGAGCTCTTCTCTTCAGTATGGTTTTGTTAGAGTAAGCAGGAACTGAACAGCTCAGCTCTGAATTATCAGCCAATCTGTATGAAGCAGACTTTAAATCCCATTCCTGCGTTTCATTTGTTCCTGCACAAACACTAGTAATCGTCATTAATTAAACTGTTTATTATATTATATTAAACTCAAATACTTTAATACAATACTCTCCGGAGCCATTGGGGTTCGTTTAGAATAACCATTATATCAAGTTGATTCCAATTATTTTGATAAACAATCAATTGGTATTGAATAATGGCATTTCAAACGAGCAGTAGGTATGTGATATTGTGTTTTTTAGGCTAATCTAAAAATAAACAGCTTATTTTCTACTTTGTTTTCTAACAACCTTTATTTTGTATTCTGCGGTATCAATCCACTGCAACAAATAAGCTTTTTAGTTAACTAATCAACTAATTTCAGCGGAACACAGAGGAGATACCAACTCCCACTACCAGAACACCCTATACACTGGAGATGTAGCGGAGCGAGTAAAAGTGCTGAAGAGCGTGGGACAGAGGGGCCTGGCTTACTTGTGTGCTAAAACACATGGCATGGAGGAAGAGGCTGAGTCTATAGCTGCTTCTCTACCTGCTGAACAGGTCACTGTTTGTTATTATTTGGTTCCTTAATCGGTTTGATGAGTGATGAAGCCGGCCTCTTCAATAATATGTATATCACCAGCATTATATATAAGTATTTATATGATAGAATGTCCCCAGATCCCCCAAGTACCGGAGAATGCGAAGCTCCTAAAGCCAGGTGTCCCCATAATGAAGAGTGATGAGAACTGGCCGCTGCTCACTGTCAGCAAGGGAATATTCGACAAAGTAGCTGGGGGAGAGCCCACCAGTGCCCTGGACGCTGAGGTGGATGTAGATGTGGAGGTGGAGGGAGCCTGGGGAGATGAGGACCTGCAGCTAGAAGAGGGTAAGTTACCAACTAGTTACCAAATAGTTTCCAATAGGTTACCAACAAGTTACCAAATAGTTACCAACACGTTACCAACTTGTTACCAAATAGTTACCAACAAGCTACCAATAGGTTACCAACTTGTTACCAAAAAGTTACCAATTAGTTACCAATTAGTGATCAACTAGTTACCAACTCTATACTAAACCTTCCCTCGCTTCAGGTTCAGAGCCTGAGTTTGATAAGTCTGACGGTGAAGGATCTGCAGCAGGATGGGACGTGGACGAGGACCTGGAGCTGCCACCAGATCTGGACATTGCAGTGACAGCAGTTACAGGGGGCAGCTACAATCCACCTGCTATTGGTACCAGCACTGCTAAGGTCAGATATTACCTGTAGTTACTTGTCTGCGAGTTATATCTTTATTCCTGTTATATATGTATATTAGGCTAGCTACAAATACCAATCACCCCCCCCCCTGTTATATATTAGGCTAGCTACAAATACCAAGCACCCCCCCCCCCGGCCCCCCCCCCCCACTTTACCACTGTTTTTTCTCAGAGATGGGCGGATAATTCCCAGTTTGCTGTTGATCATCTGATGGGGGGATCTGTAGACTCTGCTATGAGACTGTTAGACGACCAAGTGGGCGTAGTGGACTTCAACCCTTACAAGTTAGTTATTAAGAAGAATTTATTTTGGTTACAAAATGTGTACCCCTAAAGGTATCGTAAAGCCGCTAGGATACCGTTAGGGATGCACATTTGGGATATTATGTTCTTCTTTCATACGACCAAAAATACAAAACTGTTTTAAGTGCCCCTCACTTCACATTACCTGAAGTAAGCCTTATTTTTATGTTTTGAAAGTGCTAAATAAACCCCCAGGTCCCTGTTTATGCAAGTTATGGGTCGTGGAGCGGTATGTCTGCCTGGTATACCCTGTCAAGCCCCTGTATTCGCATACCCCCCTCGTAACCTGAACGAGAATGCTCCTAAGAACGCTCTTCCTCGCAAGTTCATCAAGCTTACTGAACTGGTGGAGCAGCTCCAGGTAAGATACACACGTTTCCGTATATTCAATACATATGTTTCCGTATATTCAATACACATGTTTCCGTATATTCGTGTAGAACCTCGGCAGAAGTAGCTAGTTAATAGATAGTATAATTATAGTAGGTAATACAATCTCTATTATTATTTTAAGAGATCTCAACCGCCAATTCTAAATCGTTCCACTATAATCAAGTTATTAGAAACCAATTAGAAACCAATTAGAAACCAATTAGAAACTAGTTAGAAAATAATTAACCTAAAAACTAATTATCATTATTTGTAACAGGTGGGATACCAGTTGACAACTCAAGGAAAGTTCGGTGACGCAGCGGTGAAATTCCACAGTATCCTCCTGTCTGTACCTCTCCTTATAGTCGATACTAAGGAGGAAATGAACGAGGTAATTGTTAATTAATTAGTGATTATTATTATGTTAATTAATTAGTTATTATTAGTAATTATCATTTAATTACAAATCAATTCAATGAACTGTAGCACTTCCTCTTTCTATTTCTAGACCTTGTGGTAAGTGACTCTTTAACCACTGCTCTATACAGGCAATACAGCTAATGGGTATCTGTAGAGAGTATATCCTGGGTCTCCAGATGGAGCTAGCTAGAAAGGAACTGCCTAGACGCACTGTTGATGATCAGGTAATGCTAACAATAATTGCCAATATTTCATAGATTTCCTATACTTATTCCTATTTAAAGTATATCTTCATCTCAAAATATCTGTCTTTTTAACGCTAGTAAAACAGTAATACCGAGTAGTAAGTTAACTAAACCTGGATATTACAGATCCGGATATGCGAGCTAGCAGCGTACTTTACACATTGTAACCTGCAACCAATGCATCTCATGTTAACACTGCGTACTGCTGTTAGTCTCTTCTACAAGGTAAGATTACCTCTGCTAATCAGTTCATTACTTATTAATTACTTATTAATTATAAACAACACATCAATTCAAAGTCGATTAATTAATTTGATCTTGATATTAAAATTATTGTACTAAAAAGTTATCCACTTCTCATAAATCACATAACTTGAAATTGTAAGTCCCACAATAAATAATACAACTAACATCAAACTTTTCTCCAGATGAAAAACTTCAAGACTGCGGCTTCCTTCGCTCGCCGGCTGATCGACCTGGGCCCTAAACCCGACATAGCGACTCAAATGAGAAAGATTCTGGCGGCGTGTGAGAAAAATCCAACAGACGAACATAAACTGCAGTATGATCAGCATAACCCCTTCGTTCTGTGCGCCATGACCTATCAACCTATCTATAGGTGAGTCAAATCTAATCAACCTATGTATGAGTCATTAAATATCTAAATATTTACTAATTTGTATGACTAAATTAATGAATAAATTAATGACTAAATTAATGACTAAATTAATGACTAAATTAATGACTAAATTAATGACTAAATTAATGACTAAATTAATGACTTAATTAATGACTAAATTAATGACTAAATTAATATAAATATTAATTTTCACTTACTAAATAATATTAATATTTCAGAGGAAAGGCTGTAGAGCGGTGTCCGTTGTGTTCTGTTAATTATACGCCAGAATGTAAAGGACAGATTTGCACTGTCTGTAAAGTAAGTTCTACTTAATTTTTAAGCTCTGCTTTAACTTTAGATATTAATGTTGGGATTAAAACCTGCTGTTTTAGAAATAAATATTATAATGACAATGTTATTTATAATATTTCTAGGTGGCGGAAGTTAGAAATAAATGCTATAATGACAATGTTAATTATAATATTTATAGGTGGCGGAAGTTAGAAATAAATGCTATAATGACAATGTTAATTATAATATTTATAGGTGGCGGAAGTTTGAAAGGAATGCTATAATGACAATGTTAATTATAATATTTATAGGTGGCGGAAGTTAGAAATAAATGCTATAATGACAATGTTATTTATAATATTTATAGGTTGTTATAATGACAATGTTATTTATAATATTTATAGGTGGCGGAAGTTGGAAAGGAATGCTATAATTACAATGTTATTTATAATATTTCTAGGTGGCGGAAGTTGGGAAGGAATGTATCGGTCTGCGTATCTGTCCCAACCAGTTCAGATAGGAACCCTATCCTCGGACTACATAACACGGAACATTGAATATGATTAACTTTGTGTTTCACTGGAAAGGTTTTAACTTGATTAGCTTATTATTTACTTATTTCACTTACCTAGTAGTAGTAACTCTCGTGTCTGTTGTACGGTAATATAATGCATGAGTAGATTATATCTTCAATAGCTAAGAAATACGTTAACATATTTACAAAATTCGGAGTATGGACTTATATTTTCTGAGTTTGACGTAGGACTCCTTTTCAACGAGTTTTGATAATTGTAAAACTAAAAGAATTCAATTTTGATCTCGAACCATTTTTATGAGCTAAATTATCGTATTTTGGGATTAATTTGTTCAAAAGATTTGTGTAACTGTAACTATACTTATTGATACAATCACCAAACATAAGCGTCTCCCCTTTTAGAAATTTTCAGTTAACCCTTAATTTTTAAGTATGAACGTTAATATTACACTAATATCTGGCCAGAGGAGCATTTTAACCCTATGCCATGTGGGGTACAGGTGATTCGGAGTAGTGCGTTGTACTTCGAAGAAATTTACAATTAAGACGTGTATCGTCCCTCAAGCGCACCACAAAATATTTTAAAACCTCGCTTCGAGTTCTTCACATCCCACCAGGGCCTATTTTGGGTGTAATATGCAGCAGGGGTATCATTAAGTCATTGTACATTGCAATGTGAGTGGAGATGTAAATAGCGCACTTTAGTAAAGGCACTGCTACCCACATGTCCCCACTTTAGTAAAGGCACTGCTACCCACATGTCCCCACTTTAGTAAAGGCACTGCTACCCACATGTCCCCACTTTAGTAAAGGCACTGCTACCCACATGTCCCCACTTTAGTAAAGGCACTGCTACCCACATGTCCCCACTTTAGTAAAGGTACTGCTACCCACATGTCCCCACTTTAGTAAAGGCACTGCTACCCACATGTCCCCACTTTAGTAAAGGCACTGCTACCCACATGTCCCCACTTTAGTAAAGGCACTGCTACCCACATGTCCCCACTTTAGTAAAGGCACTGCTACCCACATGTCCCCACTTTAGTAAAGGCACTGCTACCCACATGTCCCCACTTTAGTAAAGGCACTGCTACCCACATGTCCCCACTTTAGTAAAGGCACTGCTACCCACATGTCCCCACTTTAGTAAAGGCACTGCTACCCACATGTCCCCACTTTAGTAAAGGCACTGCTACCCACATGTCCCCACTTTAGTAAAGGCACTGCTACCCACATGTCCCCACTTTAGTAAAGGCACTGCTACCCACATGTCCCCACTTTAGTAAAGGCACTGCTACCCACATGTCCCCACTTTAGTAAAGGCACTGCTACCCACATGTCCCCACTTTAGTAAAGGCACTGCTACCCACATGTCCCCACTTTAGTAAAGGCACTGCTACCCACATGTCCCCACTTTAGTAAAGGCACTGCTACCCACATGTCCCCACTTTAGTAAAGGCACTGCTACCCACATGTCCCCACTTTAGTAAAGGCACTGCTACCCACATGTCCCCACTTTAGTAAAGGCACTGCTACCCACATGTCCCCACTTTAGTAAAGGCACTGCTACCCACATGTCCCCACTTTAGTAAAGGCACTGCTACCCACATGTCCCCACTTTAGTAAAGGCACTGCTACCCACATGTCCCCACTTTAGTAAAGGCACTGCTACCCACATGTCCCCACTTTAGTAAAGGCACTGCTACCCACATGTCCCCACTTTAGTAAAGGCACTGCTACCCACATGTCCCCACTTTAGTAAAGGCACTGCTACCCACATGTCCCCACTTTAGTAAAGGCACTGCTACCCACATGTCCCCACTTTAGTAAAGGCACTGCTACCCACATGTCCCCACTTTAGTAAAGGCACTGCTACCCACATGTCCCCACTTTAGTAAAGGTACTGCTACCCACATGTCCCCACTTTAGTAAAGGCACTGCTACCCACATGTCCCCACTTTAGTAAAGGCACTGCTACCCACATGTCCCCACTTTAGTAAAGGCACTGCTACCCACATGTCCCCACTTTAGTAAAGGCACTGCTACCCACATGTCCCCACTTTAGTAAAGGCACTGCTACCCACATGTCCCCACTTTAGTAAAGGCACTGCTACCCACATGTCCCCACTTTAGTAAAGGCACTGCTACCCACATGTCCCCACTTTAGTAAAGGCACTGCTACCCACATGTCCCCACTTTAGTAAAGGTACCCACAGTTTGATGAATTGGGGTGGAGGGATCGAATTTTTTGCTTTGATCGATTCTAGTTTGAAGTTACGTAGTTTTAACTGTCGGGACCCTTTTAGAAAAATCTCGAAGATCGACTGTAGAGTGATTTAGCACGCTTGAATAAGAATACCAAGTCCCCACTTTAGTAAAGGCACTGCTACCCACATGTCCCCACTTTAGTAAAGGTACTGCTACCCACATGTCCCCACTTTAGTGAAGGCACTGCTACCCACATGTCCCCACTTTAGTAAAGGTACTGCTACCCACATGTCCCCACTTTAGTAAAGGCACTGCTACCCACATGTCCCCACTTTAGTAAAGGCACTGCTACCCACATGTCCCCACTTTAGTAAAGGCACTGCTACCCACATGTCCCCACTTTAGTAAAGGCACTGCTACCCACATGTCCCCACTTTAGTAAAGGCACTGCTACCCACATGTCCCCACTTTAGTAAAGGCACTGCTACCCACATGTCCCCACTTTAGTAAAGGCACTGCTACCCACATGTCCCCACTTTAGTAAAGGCACTGCTACCCACATGTCCCCACTTTAGTAAAGGCACTGCTACCCACATGTCCCCACTTTAGTAAAGGCACTGCTACCCACATGTCCCCACTTTAGTAAAGGCACTGCTACCCACATGTCCCCACTTTAGTAAAGGCACTGCTACCCACATGTCCCCACTTTAGTAAAGGCACTGCTACCCACATGTCCCCACTTTAGTAAAGGCACTGCTACCCACATGTCCCCACTTTAGTAAAGGCACTGCTACCCACATGTCCCCACTTTAGTAAAGGCACTGCTACCCACATGTCCCCACTTTAGTAAAGGCACTGCTACCCACATGTCCCCACTTTAGTAAAGGCACTGCTACCCACATGTCCCCACTTTAGTAAAGGCACTGCTACCCACATGTCCCCACTTTAGTAAAGGCACTGCTACCCACATGTCCCCACTTTAGTAAAGGCACTGCTACCCACATGTCCCCACTTTAGTAAAGGCACTGCTACCCACATGTCCCCACTTTAGTAAAGGCACTGCTACCCACATGTCCCCACTTTAGTAAAGGCACTGCTACCCACATGTCCCCACTTTAGTAAAGGCACTGCTACCCACATGTCCCCACTTTAGTAAAGGCACTGCTACCCACATGTCCCCACTTTAGTAAAGGCACTGCTACCCACATGTCCCCACTTTAGTAAAGGCACTGCTACCCACATGTCCCCACTTTAGTAAAGGCACTGCTACCCACATGTCCCCACTTTAGTAAAGGCACTGCTACCCACATGTCCCCACTTTAGTAAAGGCACTGCTACCCACATGTCCCCACTTTAGTAAAGGCACTGCTACCCACATGTCCCCACTTTAGTAAAGGCACTGCTACCCACATGTCCCCACTTTAGTAAAGGCACTGCTACCCACATGTCCCCACTTTAGTAAAGGCACTGCTACCCACATGTCCCCACTTTAGTAAAGGCACTGCTACCCACATGTCCCCACTTTAGTAAAGGCACTGCTACCCACATGTCCCCACTTTAGTAAAGGCACTGCTACCCACATGTCCCCACTTTAGTAAAGGCACTGCTACCCACATGTCCCCACGAGTTACTCAAGTTTCCCGACGCGCACACTTCAGGAAATGCTGTTACCTGGCCCCTGTATTAGCTTATTAGGGGTCGTTCACATGTTACGTAATCATACTTCCAGTTTCAAGCGACATTGATACAGTTATAGGACAAAGAAGAAGTTGAAGCAATCAACAAAGAATAATAGTAATACTGTATACATTATAGTAATACTATATATACATTTCATCACACGAACATATTCTATTCACTATTGTCTATACTTCATACTTGCATATTTTCAAATTATATATCTTTTAACATATCATTAAAAGAGACAAAACCAAATAAAAGAAAAAAGTACATATCAAGTCGCTATACAGAACAATTGTGCGAAGTTATTTCACAGTCTGCATTAATCGTGAGTTCAAAAAACCGGATAACTCATGACTAGTAACTGTTTTATTTGTTTGATGAATTGGGGTGGAGGGCTTTGATCGATTCTAGTTTGAAGTTAGTTTCAACTGTCGGGACCCTTTTAGAAAAATCTCGAAGATCGACTGTAGAGTGATTTAGCACGCTTGAATAAGAATACCATTACCAAGGAATATAGCAAAAGATCGCTAGGATAAATCTAGCTTGTGCTATGCAAATTAGGTAAGAAAATGAACACCAAGAAAACTTTAGTATGGCCATAGTTTTGAATTACAGAAAATCTCATAAACTTAAGGATACACTGAAGACATAAGTTATAATTATGTTTCATTGAAATTAATCAATAGCTTCATAGCTCCCTCGTAGCGACTACATAATCGTTCCGCTGAGGATTTCTGCAGAGCACCTTATTCTTCAGTGACTCCCTCAACTTTTTGCTCCTCCATATCAAGATAACCGGATTAAGCGCGGAGCATATAAAGGGGAATACTGTACTAGTCAAGTAGGGGAATACTGTACTGTAAAGTTGATCGCTCGTGTAATTTAGGTTCAGTATCCAGCAGAGAGTGAGGAAGGCTGTGTACACGGTGTTACACAACGAGAAGACAGTGGTCAGCAGTGCGATTGTGATCGTCACTTCCCGTTCTGTATTGCTGGTGTCGCCACTCTTGCTGGCGGACATATTCTGCTGGCTGGTGGAAAGCTTCCTCCAGTTGATAGCTAAGCACACCAGTGAAAGTATGACTGCTAAGATGAAGGGAGCGCAAGATGTAGCAAAGGTTACTCCCTGTGGAATTTGTATTGATTTCTTGCTACCCTTATTGGCTTTGATATTTACCGCTGAGACCACTATGTCCTTGATACAGTAGTCTCCTACAAATGGGAGAAAGACGTATCGGATCTTTCTCTCGTAGAATGTTTCCAATTCTCCTATTTGAACAGCATCATAGATTATAATAGGCAGCAGGACTATAGGACAGATGATTATTGCTATCCACATTCTTTTATTTTCACTTGGTAGAAAGGTCTGGTTATGTTGATGGTTCGGACTACAATCAGCACCACGTTCACAAAAACAGAAATCCGTAAGATGAGTGTCGTCAAGGAGAACAAAACCCCGAGAAAGAGGGTCAGCACTGTCGGCTCCTCGTTAATTTCTAGGAGAATTCAGATTTTCAGATCGATGTTGGTTATAAACCGGGATGTGGGCATTTGAACATTTGGAGGACTTCGACGCGCCGCGCAAACTACAAACTAGCATTCTTGCTTCGCATCAACAAGATCGTTGCTCTGCGAAGCAGAGCAACGATCTGGAAGGGTTGACATCGTCAATCAATTGAACATCACTATCAGATCATCAATTCACAAATATAATATAAAATATTAGTCGGTTTATAATTTTCACAAAGCTAGAGCTTACTTTCGCTATTCTACTAAATAATACCTGTTATAACGAGCAAGATGGCGACGAAATGTAGTATTGCTGTCAGACACACAACGAAATCAGTGAAAGAGAGGGCCAGGTAGAGGGAGGGAACCAAGTTACCTCTTCTATTCCAGTAGTAGGTGAGGATCTGAATGTTTGCAGGCAGGCCAAATAGTCCTGTATTCAATAATTCTTGTGTTACTGTTAAATGATTTATAATCATTTAACAGTTCATTTAACACAAGAATTCATGGTACCACAAGAATTTAATGGCACCATTTATAATGGTTTCCATTATATTTATAAATGATATCAGTTAGGAATTTTAGAATATACAACTCTTTTTGGATTTAATATTGAATTGGTGCACTGCCACTAGTATAGTATTAGTACTAGTTAGTATGAAATGCCTTCAACTTGGAAACATGCAATTCGCTAAATTTTACCGATGAGGAGAGAAGTAATTGCCAAAGATATTGAAGCTTCATTTTTCTTTTTGAATTCAAGCGCATCTTCCGACCAGTTTGCATCTGTCATCAGCCAAAATCCCTTTATTCCGGCAGTCCCTGTTGTAGACTCAACAGCAATAATTGTTATCTCTAGCTCTTTCTTCAGCTTCTAGAATAAGTTCCGTGCTTAATTTTCCTTACAACCATTTTGACAAAGATAAATCGATCAGTGGGAATAAGTATTATTATTAAGTAATCGTGTTTGGATATTTGAGGTTGCTAACGGTCACAATTACGTGCCGGAAATTCTTGACTCCTATGTTTTATGTGTAGTTGTACGGAGAGCACACGTGTACTTCTACTACATACTATTTACCAAGTATATAGTAAAGTGGCAACAAACGTCAAACCTGGGCGAAAAGTTAGCCCAGATAACAGGCCATTAGGTAATATTTATTTGGCAAAACGTCGAACATGACCAAGACGACAGTACACATGTTAAAAATCGAGGTCAACCATAGGACACTGGACAAAATACGTAACACTGCTGACCTTTTCAAATAAATTAAAACAAAAAATGCTAATACGAGAAGAAAAACGCGCTATAAAAGGGAATGTATATGAAAAGAAAATTAAATTGCTGCATTAAAATCTACCTGGTATGGGGACTCCATGTCCAGACTATTATTAATTATGTTCATATAAACATAATAGCTTGACGGATGTTACTCGTCTAAATCTCTTCGAAGTAGCGCGGGCCGCTTTCTTCTCGAAATGGCAAGTGCTTGTGTCACGTTGCGACCCCACGGTCGTTTCACTATGGTGGAATACAGAGGGAGCCGCGCACTTCGTGCGCGGCGGGTCATACAACGTATGACAAGCAAGTGCTACAAAGTAGCGCGCGCCGGGCCAGACCATTAACAATGACGTCAACATAATACTAATAGCCACATATTTTGATTTTATACAATAGCCACCATAATAAACACATCCGCAATCCGCCGAGATTCGGCGGAATGACAGGCTGAGCGCCGCCCAGTAACATTAAAATTTAAAATCAGCTTTGTCTCTGCCAGACGCCAGTCCAATGTAATTTGCAAAATATTAATTGCATGTAGTTGTACTCTCGCCAACATCCAAATTGTAGGTTTACAACCTACTAGGACGCGCGCCGAGTTGGACTTGTCGACGGTAATATATGGAACAGCTATTTTACGAGTATCACCCGTTAACATCCAAACAGAACGTCAGCAGTCAGCTCTTACGATTGTCCATTGTTAATGGACTAGCCCGGCGCGCGCTACTAGTACTTCGTAGCACTAGCACTTACACTTGCATTGTCTCGGGCTACTTCGAAGAAATTTAGACGAGTAACATTCGTCAACCCTTACGACCCTTTATTTCTGTCCCTCCTTCCTCCAGCTTATTTCTATACGGTCCCTAGACCCTAGTCCGGCTCTTACTAATTCGCTCGCCCAAAAATTATCACGTGACTTTGGTTTTTAGTTTTTTTTTTCTACCCATGATTCACATGCCACTCAACAGTGCAGCTTAGTTGCTAAGCTGCACTGTTGAGTGGCATGTCGGCATGTGATCTGATGACCACGGATCTCAGGGGGCCAAGTTGTCGGCCTCCCGATCAAGGTTTATTGCTAATGCTAATCCAGTTCCTTAATTATGAATGCTAATAGTGTTAAACAAAAGAAACAATCTTATCATCGATCAGGTGAAATAAATCAAGCAACGATCAGAGACCAGCTCCGCAATCGTAAAATAGACATTAAGAACATTTTAATTTTGCAATGTAGAAAAATCAAAACTGAACATTTCAAGTACATACTTTGTATTTCGATTTCTTCAGCATTTATACCAAAATAATTTACTTACAGAAACGTTCTTTAAGATGCTTGTACATGCTACATTTGTACAATATCAAATGTCAGACAAAAGTTAGCAAAATGGAAGATCGTTTAAATGATGATCATCCTAAAAGTCTCCCAAGAATATAGAGTGATTTCTCTAATATTATTCACAATCCAAACATTTGGTAACTGTCGCTATTTCTAAAGTTTTAAGAATACCAGATTCGTTATTGTTAAGAATGATCTTAAAATCTGGCCAAAGGAACGGAATCTAATCGTCAAGGGAGCGGAATTCCTCACGAAGTTTCTCAGCCAGCTCCGCATAACTCTTCAGTATCTTCTCCTCACCGTCAGCTTTAGGGTCCTGCAGTGGCGAAATTAATCAGGTTTAACTTGAAACAGAATTAGAAGTGAGTTACTTTTGGAAGCCCAATAAGTAACTCAAATTTATTTGAAAAGAATTCAAATAAATTCGTTTAGTTCACTTATAAAACATAAATATCTACTGTTGAAATTAAAAACAAGACCTGAAGATGTCACAGAAATATGGGACTGTTACAGTTCTAACATTTAAAAAATGAAAGACCGGAAGAATGTAAAATAAAGTTTACCATAAATTTCATCTTAGTGAGCTCGTACATAATACCCCTCATCCTGTCGTGGATCATGTTCCAGGTGATCTTATTCTCGCTGTGAGCTGTTGACTCCACCGCGTGCATTGCCAGGTCGTGGAACAGTATCATGTTTGACATCATGCCCACTAGAATTGGGAGAGAGTTTACTTCAGGGGGGGGGGGGGGGGGATATCATGCCCACTAGAATTGGGAGAGAGTTTACTTCAGGACAGTTTACTTCAGGGGGGGTGGGGGGGTGACATCATGCCCACTAGAATTGGGAGAGAGTTTACTTCAGGGGGGGGGGGGGCATCATGCCCACTAGAATTGGGGGAGAGTTTACTTCAGGGGGGGGGGGACATCATGCCCGCTAGAATTGGGAGAGAGTTTACTTCAGGGGGGGGGGGGACATCGTGCCCACTAGAATTGGGAGAGAGTTTACTTCAGGGGGGGGGGGACATCGTGCCCACTAGAATTGGGGGAGAGTTTACTTCAGGGGGGGGGGGGACATCATGCCCGCTAGAATTGGGAGAGAGTTTACTTCAGGGGGGGGGGGGGCATCATGCCCGCTAGAATTGGGAGAGAGTTTACTTCAGGGGGGGGGGGGACATCGTGCCCACTAGAATTGGGAGAGAGTTTACTTCAGGGGGGGGGGGGGGGGCATCATGCCCGCTAGAATTGGGAGAGAGTTTACTTCAGGGGGGGGGGGACATCGTGCCCACTAGAATTGGGAGAGAGTTTACTTCAGGGGGGGGGGGGGGGACATCATGCCCACTAGAATTGGGAGAGAGTTTACTTCAGGGGGGGGGGGGGGGGGCATCATGCCCGCTAGAATTGGGAGAGAGTTTACTTCAGGGGGGGGGGGACATCGTGCCCACTAGAATTGGGAGAGAGTTTACTTCAGGGGGGGGGGGGCCGGGGGGGGCATCATGCCCACTAGAATTGGGGGAGAGTTTACTTCAGGGGGGGGGGGGGGGACATCATGCCCACTAGAATTGGGGGAGAGTTTACTTCAGGGGGGGGGGGACATCATGCCCACTAGAATTGGGGGAGAGTTTACTTCAGGGGGGGGGGGGGGACATCATGCCCACTAGAATTGGGGGAGAGTTTACTTCAGGGGGGGGGGGGGGGGGGGGGGTCATGCCCACTAGAATTGGGGGAGAGTTTACTTCAGGGGGGGGGGGGGGGGCATCATGCCCACTAGAATTGGGGGAGAGTTTACTTCAGGGGGGGGGGGGGGACATCATGCCCACTAGAATTGGGGGAGAGTTTACTTCAGGGGGGGGGGGGGGGGCATCATGCCCACTAGAATTGGGGGAGAGTTTACTTCAGGGGGGGGGGGGGGACATCATGCCCACTAGAATTGGGGGAGAGTTTACTTCAGGGGGGGGGGGGGGGGACATCATGCCCACTAGAATTGGGAGAGAGTTTACTTCAGGGGGGGGGGACATCATGCCCACTAGAATTGGGAGAGAGTTTACTTCAGGGGGGGGGGGACATCATGCCCACTAGAATTGGGGGAGAGTTTACTTCAGGGGGGGGGGGGGGGGGACATCATGCCCACTAGAATTGGGAGAGAGTTTACTTCAGGACTTCAGGAGGAGGAAGCTAAATGTTTTTCTCCCTATTTATACTTTTATAGCCTTTCCGTTACGGAAGTTCTGTTTATGGAAAGTGATGCAGTCAGAAATAAAACATCCTCAATTGATAACGTAGCTCGACCCTAAACACCTCATTTATATGAAATATTATCGTTTATTGACAGACCTGTTTTATAGAATGGACACACTCGATCATAATCAGTAAATCCGTTCTGCTGCAAGAAATCGTCCTTGATAAGTTTAGCGATCTCCAAACAAATCTTATCAGTCTCTCCCAAGGAAGATTTACCCACCAGCTGCACAATTTCAGACAAGTCCTCCTCATTTTGGAGAATCTCAGACACCTGTTTGTGTTTGAGAAATTGGTTTTTATGAAATTAAACATTTAAATGAAAAACAAAATTAAGATTTGTCACTCTGCGGAGAACTAGATTCTGGTAAAAAAACGCAAGGAACCGACAACCGTACCTTGTTTCTCAGAGATACAAACTCTGGGTAATTCTTTTCGTAGTAATCGTCGAGTGTCATCTTGTACTTGCTGTAACTGATCAGCCAATTAACAGACGGGAAATGTTTCCTCTGAGCTAGTTTCTTGTCCAGACCCCAGAACACCTGAACATTTCATCTTTTAGATCACATGACCAAATAGATTGCGCCACAAGAAAGAGAGTTATAACATATCTGATATGTGGTAGTATTTCGCGGAGATTTTGGGAGGTTAGTGATGAGTCGTCAACTAATAAATCTAGTTAAATCAGCGCGCATAGCGCACTGATCATACCGTCGCGCGATTCGGCACGTGGGCGTCGTGGTTACCATGGCGCAGTTTATTTCACTGTTCGCGCATGTCTTGTACACGCGATCAAATTCTTACTTTTCCATTAACATTCGTTGCAATCTCTGTCACGGTTAACAGTTATACATTCGCAAACTTTCATAAACACAACGATGACCAGGATTATCCTATTCATCTGGGCACTCACAGTGCCGCTCTCCGCTGCTCCAGTTCCACGATCTTTGTATCTGAATATCAGCGACAGCAATTCTACTTCGACATCGCTTATTGAGGAAGACCTAGAAATCGCCGGATCTGATGACCTCGCAATAAAAGTTGCTTTTATACTCAGTTTCATAGCTGTTTTATCTTCCATCCTGCTAGCATGTTTGATGGTCGGATTCTTTGTAAAGACCACGAAGAAGATTTCAGAACTAGCAAAACTTTTAGAAAAAGATAACGGCATTAACAAAGATCTCGAAAGTGGACTACGGGAAGAAATGAAACCAGAAGAAGATCAAGAAATAGTAAAATCACATAGTCAGATCGACTTTAAACCAAAGAACTATCACAAGCAGCGTATGCTTATGAGACTGAAGGAAGCTCAAAAAGAACACCCGCTAGCGAAGATGACCAGCATGGAGAAAGTTTCGCAAAGAAAACGAAGAAGACGACCCCTGAGAAGCCGTAACGAGAGGAACAAGGGGACTACTTTAAAGGTACAGTCCTCCCCTTTTTTAGGACGGTCATGATCACATTTCTCTGACTAATTTTAACGCCCCAATTTCTAAATTACTAAATTTGACGGACAAAAATGATGCTTAAATTAGACAAGTTATCCACAAGTTTGTTTCAGATTTACCCGGCCATGGACGTATCAGACACAGAGTTGAGCCCAGGAGAGTTGGTGAAGTGTCACTATCCTTTCCCCAAACATCAGAAGAAGCTCATCTGGCCCAACAAATACAAGTTTATCCCTCAGGATCTTGAACCTGGTGAACTTGTTTTCATTTCCGGGGACGAAAAAGCAAAATGGTCACCATACGAATTCAAAGAATCGGATAGCGTTTCACTGTCTTTTGGTGAAGAGAAGCTAGACAATGAAACATCTTGTCACGAAATGGAGGAGATTGGTCGGGATCCACGGAAGATGGAACAATACGAAAATAAAGAAACATCGCCCATTTTATGTCCGGAGACTACGGTAAAGAAACCTTTCAAGAAACCTTCACGCAGACCACCTCCTAAACACAAGATTAAGAACCAGGAAGTACAATCAGAAGCCGAAAGAGTTCTTGTCGATTTAGACGAAATAATGTCCACATTGAGTCCTGAAATCACCAGATCCAAGCTTACCAAAGCTAATAAGCTGTCGTCTGCGAGGGAAAGAAGATTGACGGAAAAAAGGAAAACGGACCAGACGAATACTGCGAAAGAAGAGACCCTGAAAATAGAAAATAAGGGAGACTCGCTGTGTATCGAAGTGGAAAGGGATGATGTTATATCCTCGACTCCCACCATCCTCCCACCAAACCCCTCTCCTGTCACCCCAGTGCCTCCTAAAGAGTGTCTTCCCAAACTCTCACCTAATAAAGTAACATTGGCCCCTCAAAAGCTCTCTATCACGTCCCAGCTCAATGATCCGAAGATCCGACGTCCAGAAGCAAAGTCCACATTAGCGACTGCTCGGCGTCAACAACCAAGAAATAAGAACGCTCGATTAGCGACACAAACTCCCCCGCCAAAACATGCGAAGAAGATCATGTTCCGACCAGGAGCAGTCAGGAAAAGGAGGTCCATATTCGGCAAACCTAAGAGTCTCAACTATTGGACTATCATTGCCAACAAAAAACTCCAAAAGAAAAACGAAGCTCTTGTCGCAGAACATTCTCAGAGCCCAGACCCTATACTTCAAATACAAAGAAAAAGTGACGGGGCTATCCTGTACGAATCTCCTCTGAAATCAAATCCTTTCGTTATTCAGGTTAGCATCTTACACGAATTTAATTTTATATTAAATCTAACATTAAAATTATCTATATCTCAACAAGTAGTTTTCTCTTAAACTTAACCCCAAAAACCCACAGAACGGTGTCGTTATGAGGAAAGATAACGTGAGCTGAAAGGATAACCACGTGACATACAAATATTGTACAACAAGTACACAAAGCTAAACCTGGTTGGCATTGGAGTAAATACTAGATTGTCAATGATGGAATTTGGATGATGCATTCTTTCAAGGGACATAGATAAAGAAGGACAAGAAAAGGAAGAAGCAAACAAAGAGCTAGAGAGATACGAAAGAATCAATTGTATCAACACACGAGGAATGCGGATATTCTATTCTTGTGTATTATCATTCAATATATTATCTTAACATATCATAAATACAAAAAAAAAGTTAAAAGAGACAAAACCAAAGAAAAAAGATAAAAAACAAAAAACCAAAAAAAAAAGACATTTCACTTTGCTATACAATCGTGCAGAAGTTATTTCAGAATCTGCATTAATTGTGAGTTCAAAAAACCGGATAACTGTGTTTTATTTGTTTGACGAATTGGGGAGGAGGGTTACCACTTTTCATCTGAGTGACGACTGTCCTCTGATTTAAGCTTTAATTCGCGTTTTATACAGAAAAGGTTCCGAACTGCTCCGTTTGTATAACAGCTTCTCTGTATAATGACGCAAGCTTACTGCAAGTTTATTATAGCAATGTACTGTAAAACCCTTAATTTTCGGAGTGTTTTTAGGAACGAATATTCGTAAAAATGTATGCTGTGAAGATGGCTAAATTTTAGAAATTAGCGACAATTAGTGCTCGCGAAAATATGTTTCAAGTCTAGTAGTAACACCTAGAAGCTGTTTTCCACACATTTTATTATTACCAAACTATTACGGCTCTACAACTGCACTCACCTGTACGATACCAAGAGTAGCACTAGTAACAGTATACACTCACCTGTACGATACCAAGAGTAGCACTAGTAACAGGATCAGAGAAATCACCACCAGGAGGAGACACAGCCCCCACAATACTCACACTCCCTTCTCTACCTGGGTTACCAAGACAACGTGTGCGACCTGCACGCTCGTAGAAGGAGGCGAGCCTGGAGCCGAGGTAGGCAGGATATCCACTGTCAGCTGGCATCTCCGCTAAACGACCTGAGATCTCTCTCAGAGCTTCAGCCCATCTGGAGGTGGAGTCTGCCATCATGGACACGTGCATTCCCATGTCACGGAAATACTCAGCTAGAGCAATACCTGATAGGGGATTACTAATGTCACGTGAGGGAGTTACGGTCGTGTCATTTTATTATGTGATAGTTATTTAGTTAATTAGTTAATAATATTTCGTTGATAAACTTAAAACAAGAAATCCACCATAACCATAACAGCGCACGCCCATTTGAAAATTAGGTCAAAATTTCGATTTGGCAGCACTGTCTGGTGATCACTCAGATCGTTATACAGCAGATCTACCAAACTATAATTCTCGAATTCCATGTTTAGGTACCGTTACGTCACATGTTCATTTTTCTAATTTCTACACAAATGCGTCGCTCAGTTGTCCACGAAAGTAATCATTTTTAACCCATCATGGTTGTCACGTGAATATAACATTAATTGAAAGTATAGTATAGTATTTCATTTAGACGTATTTAATTTAGATATTATATTTGATTAAATTGGTTTGCTAAATCATCATCGTCCTAAAAATTGTAGTACTTCTGATTAAACTAAAAAAGAAAAAACCGATCATGAAATATTTGTTTATTTTAATTTATTGATTTAATTAAATAAAGAAACTGCAAGGATGACAGACCTGTGTAAATAGAAGCCTCTCTTGCAGCGACAGGCATGTTGGATGTATTGGCTACCAGGCAAGTCCTCTTCATGATGTTATGCACTTCTCCCCTCAGCTCCAGTTCCAGCTGAAAAGGGAATGGGGTTTCAAGGGGAGCAGAAATGAGGAGATCCTCTAAACTTATATCAGAAAATAAAGAGGCGAAAATATGAATTAATTAATAAAGACACGTGACATGCCCGTATATGGTTAACACGTGACATGCCCGTATATGGTAATCACGTGACATGCCCGTATAATATGATTAACACGTGACATGCCCGTATTTGGTTAACACGTGACTTACCTCAGGGAACTCCTGCAGCACCTCCGCCATCTCGTTACCCCGCTCTCCGCACCCCACATAGATGATGATGTCAGAGTTACTGTACTTGGACAAGGCTTGTGAGATTACCGTCTTACCGCAACCAAACGCTCCGGGGATTGCTGTGGTACCTCCCTGTACACATCTGTGGGGGATGGGTTAGTAGGAGAATACCAGCGCGACAACATCTTAATATTGATTTAAAACATTGAGACATCAACGAGAACAACTTAAAGGACTTAAAACCTAGATTATTACTTCTTCACCCATTTGGGGGGGGGGGGGGGGGGGGGGGGGGAGGGGGGGGATAACGTATTTTTTTGTTTTTTTTCAAAAATTTACTTTTACCTTAACAAAAAAAATTCTTTTCAGCTATTTCGATTTTGAGCTATATTTTTATCATTTTATTGAGTTATTGGGTTTTTTCCTTTTTTCCCCCCTTTTTTTTCCTTTTTTGGTTTTTTGTTTTTTTTTCAAAAAACTACTTTTACCTTACCCCAGTAACCAGTAACAATGTTTCCGGTCCTACAGTGACATAATATGAACAGCACTATATTGTATCAGCTACTGACATTAAAAAGATTTGTGGCTTGACTGACTGCATCCACCCTTTATCTTAGGAAAGGTGCTTTTAGTTTATAGCTGCAACATCAGGGTAATTTAATACATGTGTCTCAATGCACGTAGTTTCCAGGAGTCAGACTGTCTAGGGCTAAGTACGGGAATTACCCTAACTTGCAGACATAAAATGGAAACGTTTTCTATGGAGAAAATGGAAAAAACCCTTGAGTAACTCTCCATTTATGCAATTTTATGCCATTGTTCACCCCCCCCCCCCCCATTATAGTTCCTGGCTTTACTATACAGCTCAGTCTGTATTTGTCATGGTGCTATTTACTATACTGGCAATGCCAATAGTTAAAAAATAAAGCTGGTGCTACACTGCTGTAAAGAAGAGCCAGGGTAAGGACCTATAAAACGGTTACCACAAGCAGGCTCATTATTCAGACGGGTACAGTGAAAACAGAACCGTTAAACCGTTAACACGAGTAAGCGCGGGTCACGTAGTCACGTGGTCTTAACTCGAGGTCACGTGGTCTTAACTCGAGGTCACGTGGTCTTAACTCGAGGTCACGTGGTCTTAACTCGAGGTCACGTGGTCTTAACTCGAGGTCACGTGGTCTTAACTCGAGGTCACGTGGTCTCAACTCGAGGTCACGTGGTTCCCTCCTACCAATGACCGGGCTAGACTAACATTACCTTAGGAACAATGTTATTATCCCCTGGACCACGAGAAGAGAGGTCCTTCGCTGCCTTCTTTCTATCTGTTGTTCAAGTGCGTGTGGGGGTGGGGGGGGGGGGGGGCAACTCCCAATATTATCTTACTTTCGATTACCTCCTTAAATCGTTCAAAACATCTTTAAATGTTTTAAAGTTTCGTCTGCCTGTTCTTGTATTGTTCATTATTACTACTACTACTACTATTTGAATAGTTACAACCTCGTGCCCCTGCTTGTTTCAGTTTACTTTGTTTAACACTATTCCATCAATAATAAACCTCCACCCTCATTTTATCGTAATCACACAATCACACTCTAACACCCAGCAAGTTACACAACACCACAATCCACATATTGAGAAGGTGATGAAGTGGGTGATATTCTGGGCGGTGGTCCTGGCATCCCGTGCATCCCGTGCATCCCGTGCATCCCGTGCATCCCGTGCATCCCGTGCATCTGATGCATCTGATGCATCTGAGCCACCACCAGGTAATTTAAATATTGTACTTAAACAACAAATAACAAACACTGGAGGTTCAATATATAAAATTGTTGTGTAAAAAGACAAGATGTATTGAGATTTACGTTCTGATAATATGCGCAATAGAATCAATGAACCTTACGACCTTTGTGGCCACTTAATTTTGTTTTTTTTGCTGACTGTGCTGTTATAGTAGAGTTATAAGATAATAATTTGTTCAACCTCAGATCCCTGTGAAGGTGGCAACTACCTTGACCAATTGAATGGATGTACACCATGTGAAGAAGGAACATACAGCCCTGGAGGAAATGTTTCATTGTGTTCTAACTGTCCTTCTGGGAAACAAGTGGCACCTGGTTATATTGGTACTTCAGAAAGTGACTGTTCTTGGAGTAAGTCTGATTATTTCATACACTTTATGTGTCAACATTCCAGCTATATCAATTCAATATATGAAGTAAACAAATTTGATGATGTAATAATGATAAAGACATTATTTTTCAAGTAGTTTTTAAAAGGAATCGGGAATTTGACGGACTTTTACATTCTGTTTGAACAATATCGATTTAACGACTTTAAACCGCGATTAATTTGGGACACTGTTTTTGTTTCAAATCATCAGGTCTGTCAGAAGTTTTACAATACATTTACTGTAGTCTGTACAAAACAACTATTATGATATTGTTCCACACCAGCGGAAGAGAAATGGGAAAACTTAATTCTAACCCTGTCGTGTGATGATGGAGAATACCTAGAGATAGAGAACGCAAAATACTGGGCACCTGGTGTACCAGTATGGTTATGTAGTCCACGTGCAGATGCGTTTACTAAAACTAGGGATCACTGCGATTATAAGGTTTGGAGACATTGAAGAAAATGTGTAATGAGACATAAAACATTGAAACTAATGAGATCTGAATAGACAATTGAAGGAGTTAAAAGTTTTGATTTTAAATTCTTCAAGAATCAGCAATCGGCATTCTTCTAAACTTCTAACTCCCAAAACGGTAAATCGTTTCGTCATCCTCACGACCTGCTGTTCTCACAGGAATCATGTTCGATAAACACGAGCCCTTATAGTTTCTATGGTGATCCATGCTGGGGTTCGCGGAAGAAACTGGCAGTATGGTACACGTGCCAGACATGTGACGAGGGAGAACTGTTAGTTGAGGGGGCAGGGTGTGGAGTGAAAATTAGTAAGGAAATAAGAGCAGCGCCTCGTGAAATAAAGTTTTTGTGTAAAAAGACAAGTTTGGGAAAAGTTTGAAACATTTCAAACTTATTTCTGAATTTCTCATCCTTTTCGAGACAAGGACAGCTTTTATGACGATTAAACTTTGCTAAAGTTATTTTCACATAATATTTACCTTCCTATTTCCCAGGTAACTGTAACGGAGGTCAATATCTGAACCAGGTAACAGGATGTCAGAGCTGCGAAATTGGGACCTACAGTTCTGGAGGAACAGTTTCCTCCTGTGTTAGCTGTCCTGTTGGTAAATCTGTTGCAGCAGGACAAGGGAGCTCGGAGAATGACTGCTCCTGGAGTAAGTGTACAACAGACCTTATTAACTAGATGACCTTATAAACAGATGTATTGAGATTGACGTTCTGATAATATGCGCAATAGAATTAATGAACCTTACGACCTTTGTGGCCACTTAATTTTGTTTTTTTGCTGACTGTGCTGTTATAGTAGAGTTATAAGATAATAATTTGTTCAACCTCAGATCCCTGTGAAGGTGGCAAGTACCATGACCAAGAGAAAGGATGTACACCATGTGGAGAGGGAACATACAGCCCTGGAGGAAATGTTTCATTGTGTTCTAACTGTCCTTCTGGGAAACAAGTGGCACCTGGTTATATTGGTACTTCAGAAAGTGACTGTTCTTGGAGTAAGTCTGATTATTTCATACACTTTATGTATCAACATTCCAGCTATATCAATTCAATATATGAAGTAAATTTTGCGATTTAGTTTTCTCTGGTGTTGGGCCATGCCTTGGGTTGTTGAGCTCAGTTCTGCTTTCTATAGGTACAAATTGTGCATTAGGCTAGTTTTAAAGTTAAAAATCGAAAAGTTGCACATGTGAGGACACGCCAAAATTGATAGAAAATTACTAAAATCACTGAAAATTGCTGTTTTCACCATTTTCTGACAACTTGGAGAATGGAGTGCCATTGTGATTACAGTTCTTCTTGAAATACTTTAAAACTTTGCATGCTTATCAAACTATACACTTATAGATAAATTACGAATATGCGAAAATTTAAGGTGATTCAATATTGGATGCGCACGCAACGTCCGTTCAAAGTTTGCACGTGCGAAAGGTGAGAATTTTGCTCATTCGTGATTTCGAACAAATTCTGCTTAGCCACGACAATACAATGTCATTATATATGGATTTAATGCCAACTTGAATGAGTATAATGTGGCATGTTCAATCAGTGATCGACGATATGCTTACCTTAACACAAGGAAATGTTTTCAAAGGAAAAATTTCGAAATCGTCGAAACTTCCTCCTTATGAATGAAGATATCAGTTTATATTTCGACTTTATAAAGTACCCTTACATTATAATCAAAAAGAGATGATATTTGACCAAAATCCATAATCATGGGTAGGGTGGACCGCTGCCAGTGTCTCTCTTTCCCAAACAAAAGGAAATGATATTAATTTTATTGACCGTCTGCAAATGAAAAATGATACCGAGAATGAAATCGGTCGCTCGCTTTTCCCATTCATTTACAATTGTGATAGATTAAAAAGAACTACCCAAAGGCAGCTCTACTCGGCAATATGATTTTGGCTGCATGTTTGAACCCGAACCGCGCCTGATAATATAATATAATATATACATTATACAGTAGGGGGGGGGGGGGCACCCCTGAATACAGTATAAGAAGTTCCTCAAGATAGATTAACTAACGGGAATAGGGCGTCAAGTACTCGCTGTCCAGTAAGGAGCGGGTTGTTGGCTGCTAACTTCTCCGCTACTGGGCGGGGAGTTCTCACCGGCCAAACCTGGTTATATATACTGTTAGTGATTATACATAATAACCTGGTTATATATACTGTTAGTGGTTATACATAATAACCTGGTTATATATACTGTTAGTGGTTATACATAATAACCTGGTTATATATACTGTTAGTGGTTATACATAATAACCTGGTTATATATACTGTTAGTGGTTATACATAATAACCTGGTTACAACTGGTTTTCTTCTCTTATAGAAAAAGGGCTCTACTAGCTGTAGCTAGGAGCATGAAATATCGGTACAAAGCAAACTATGCAATTGTCAAACTATAAGTTTCATGTTTGAAAGCAATCTTCAGTGACAATAACCTGGTTATATATAATACTGTTAGTGGTTATACATAATAACCTGGTTATATATACTGTTAGTGGTTATACAATATATAACGGCGAGGACGAGGGGGGGAGGGGAGGGGGCTGTATTACAACCCACCTGCAAGAGGGGAGGGGGCGAGGACGAGGGGGGGGAGGGGAGGGGTGAAGCAGGGGGCTGTATTACCTGCATCATGGAATGTTGAGACTTCTTCCCCTCGAACTCTATCTCCAACACAGTGTCTATCACAGTATACTTCCCTTTAGGGGCAATGAATGTTACAATTCCTTTAGCGTTAGGAATTAACATTATCTTCTGTGTTATGAGGGTGTTTTCTGGCACGGTGCCAAACACGTGACCTCCTGAAAGACATGAGGTAAAATAACAGAATTTAGGAAAGTGGTGAAACGGGCATTTACTTGCAGTTAAAATTCGTCTGAAATTTATTTGCAAAGCTAAAAAAGTCAAAACTTTAAAACGTAAACTTTAAAACTTCTACTAATCAGAACAAACCGGTGATGTGGCAGCCAACAGTGACACTAGGATCAGGTGTAAACTCCCACTTCTTTTCTCGGTCCAAGGCGGGGACATTGACTCCATGCGGGATGTAGATGGACCCTGTGTTCCTACCAATTACCTGACAACAGACGTTAATTAATAAATTAGTTATTGATGTAGCTGTTTAATAACGAATTAAATTAAACAATAGAGACAGGTTTAAGTTTTCAATTCATAAATGTCCCGAATGAACAGAGCCATTAACTTTACAATTTCAGAGTGGACGGGGTTAACCCAGTGGGATGATCAGTTACTAATCTAACTTCGTCTCAGTTATGTGTGAGGCTGGAACGTACAAAACTGACTTAATGACCACCTGTGAGTCTTGTGTTGATAATCACGTGAGTTCCAGAGAGGGAGCTACTTCGTGTGCAGCATGCGGAGAGGGACATGTTTCAAACCAAGAGAAGACACAGTGTGGTCAGTTATCTTCCTTATCTACTGAGCATTTCTGAATATCAACTCGAATACCTGTATAAATTCCACCAACATCTACTGCTAACCTTATTAACGACTGTTCTTTACTATCAGTGACTTCCACCAACATTTTATTTACCTACTGTTTTTACCATCAGATGTGTGCACAGTTGGTCACTACAGGAGCTCTGGTGACTCATCATGTCTGTCCTGTCCAGAGAATCACATCAGTGCAATAGTTGGAGCTGCGAATTGTACATAGTGTGAGGCAGGGAAGGAAGCAAACCCAGATAAATCTCTCTGTGGTCAGTTATTTTCTCACATTTTACCATTGCACATTTTGTATAATAGTAGTTAAGTGAGCCCCTTTCCTCACATACAAGGGATACCAATGACCACTAACAGCAGCATGTCCCAAAATGAGAGATCTTAGGCTAAAGAGCTGAATATGCGTGAATCAGAGACTAATCTGCGTTTTAAAGATAAGGTCTGCATGTTACTAGACAGGTTACTCCCGTTACTAGTCTTGGTAGTATGGGTCTTAGGACACATGAATTCTAAACTTCCTAATGAGTAGCTCTTATTCTGTTTAAGGAAAACATGTTCTAGTTGGTGAGTAGCACTTGTCTGCCCTGACAATGAGTACCACCTGTCTGCCCTGACAATGAGTACCTCCTATTTTCGTGTCAGGAAAACGTGCCAGGCCCCATTAAAGTGGAGCTCCTAAATATGTTATTTAACAATTGAATTTCTCCTCAGTTGATTGTCCAGTTGGTCACTACAGGGGCTCTGAAATGTCATCATGTCAGCTATGTCCAGAGAATTATATCAGTACAACAGTTGGAGCTGCAACTTGTACACAGTGTGAGGCAGGGAAAGTGGCAAACCCATACAGATCTTTCTGTGGTGAGTCTTAACATTATGATTGGTAGGGTATAATAAGCTGTGTAAGTAATATCCGCACTATGTTCAAATGATTTGATTATAATCATATCTAATTATAAATTCTCCCAGATCCCTGCCCAGTCGGTCACTACAGAGACTCTACAATGACAACCTGTCAGACCTGCCCAGAACACCAAGTCAGTATATCACCAGGGACTACTGTCTGTACCACGTGTAAAGAGGGGGAGGTTGCAAACTTACAGAAAACAAACTGTGGTCAGTCCGGTATTTTTGTGAATTGTTAAGAAGATGTGAACTGTTAATAATCAATACCTAGCAATTCGCAACATGTTTTGTGTAACAACGCATATATAAGCAGTACGTTCCTAAGACTTATAATTTTCAAACCTCCCAGAACCATGTCCAGTTGGTCAGTACAAAGACGAGAGTATGTTTGCCTGTCAGTCCTGTACAGAGAATCACATCAGTACAACACCTGGAACTGCAACTTGTACTCAGTGTGGAGAAGGGAAAGTTGCAAACTCAGCGAGATCTCATTGTGGTGAGTCATAATCTTATTTTTTAAATCACCAATAATTTAGAAGTCATTTCGGATAATAAACAAGAATCTATGTATGTGCTAATCTGTCCCTATTCAATGAACAACCCAGAGTACAATTCCTCACTCCTCAGTTTCCTGTCCAGCTGGAAGCTACAGATCAGGAGGGATGGCAGATTGCCAGCCTTGTAATGTGAACACAGTTAGTGAGGGTGACGGAGCCACTTCTTGTACAGCTTGTGGACCTGGGACTGAGTCAAATATAGAGCATACTTTGTGTGGTAAGTCGGAGATACTGACTAGGGACTCATTAATAATTAGTTCTTTAATAGGGAGGGATAATACTGTCTGTATTTTGGGTACAAATCATTTCATTTAAATGCTCATTGAGTAGGAAATGCAATCCTACGACAAAGATGTCTTAGGGTGCCTGAAACTTAGGTTATTTGTAGGCTTAATGGGTTCAATTAAATTCGTCTAACTAAGAAAAACACAAAAACCCTCGTCTTATGATTTGAATTCGTATAAAGTAATGTAAAAAACCCTCAGTTTACTGTAAGCCGGGACATTATAAAGATTCTGGTATGACAAGTTGTGATGAGTGTGAAGGTAACAGTGTGAGCACTACCTCTGCTGCTACCCACTGTGAGGCCTGTGTTGGTGGAAAAGACGCAACACCCGACAAAACTAAGTGCTGTAAGTTATCTCTGATAGTTTACTAGTACAGTGTATATAGTGTATACTCAGTATAGTGTATAGTATAGTGTATAGTATAGTGTATACTCAGTATAGTATAGTAAGATAGTCGGATGTTTTAACATGACCGACACATACAGAGCATCTCAGCATCTAATACATGGCCTCGATGAAATGAACTCCCAATCGATTAAATGTACATTTGTTTCAGTGAACTACTGTCTACTCCCGGCCACCCCTAACTCCATACTCAAGTCTGGAATTATAATTGAGGGAGACTCCAGCAAAGTTAGCTGTGATGCCGGTCACGTGATATTTGGGGAAGAGACTATGGAGTGTGTTAGTAATGGCCAGTTTGAGGGAAATAGTATTTGCAAACTCCTGGGTAAGTGGATATAGTTTAGAGCTGTGTGGTTGTTAAATTGACCTGTCTAGGGAGAGAGTACAATTTACAACCAGATCAGCAGCATCAGTGAAGTTTGTTTGAAATAGTTGTTCAAAATAACATGTATATAGCAAAATATCCGCTGAGCAGTTTTAGGACAGTGTTTATGTTAGAGTAGAAATAAAACAGGTTTAAATACATGTATCATTATGGTAAATAAGTACCAGGTACCTATTATTATTGTTTATATCAATAAGAGAACACTTTGTTGTTTGGAGAAACTATGACGGACAAGTAAGCTGTATGAAGAGAGAAGATTCAAGACAACTACTGGATGAGAAGGTAGTGTACGTTTCAGTAAAACTTTTTAAAACGGACGTATGGTATAGTGATAGATTCACAGAGGCGATTCTAATGTTGTTATGTTTGATAAAATAACTCTGCTTTTTCATATATTGCAACACTCCTTGTTAAGAGTTAACCAGGCAACAGTGAAACCCAGCACTCCAGACCAATATATATCAGGCAAAATAACACCTAGTCGGACAAATTTGCATATAGAAAATTCTCTCCATTTATACTCAGAAACATTTATCTGTGTGGAGAATGTGAAGGACAGGGTTTTACTGGGACGATTAACTTCCGGAACGCGCGGCTTTTAGACGTATTGTGCGCGCGAAAATAACTCTGCTTTTTATTGACTTTTGGCATGCGTCTTTACGGAAATATAGTTCTCATTCCATGTAAGGGGCGGCGCGAGGGCCGGTTTGGACAAATTGCTAGCAGGACTTTGGATGTTAACATTTTAATCAACAGTATAGTGGTCCATATGTCAAAGTACAAAAACCTTGGCCCGGTGTTTGTATCACATAAGATCTTATCTTTCTCTAATATAACACATCTTATTCAGGCGAATGCTGCTAGCGAGTGTCTGAATAAGATAAAGCAAACAGATTAGTAAACGAACAAGAAACAAAACTCTTACTTCAAGTGGACGCTGGATTCCATCGTAAATACTGTTCATTATTCCTGCAATTTATTTTACTTACACCTTATTCATGTGATGAATAAAAATTTCATGGATAAAAGAAACAATTACATTTCAATGATTAAATTAATGAAACATTAAACTTAAGTCTATATTTACCAGGTCCCAACTCAACAGACAGAGGTTTTCCAGTACGTTTAACAGGATCACCGTACGACACGCCACTAGTTTCTTCGTACACCTATCAGGAGACAGAGTTGAAGTATTGTGAACAACAAGGGATGAAACTGATTTTTTCTTTCTTATTTCTAATGATAAATATAAATTTTGCGAAAATTATCCGCAAAATACAAAAACTGTCGTAATACGACGCTTTACAGCATATATAAACCTTGTCCCGGTGAACGTGGTTGTATTACTGCAGCGAAAAAAACTGTTAGTTTTGGGAATAGTTTTCGTTCGAGTTTTTAAAACAAACCCAGAATTGTTTATGAACATTTTTTATGGGGACGAGAAATACACAATTTGTTGAAGCACAGTTTACTTTTATTTAATAACTTGTTTGATTCTATATTCAATGTTTATCTGACTGTTTCTATCAATTTAACTATCAATTTATGAAGATATGATAGGAATTTTAAGAAGAACAAAAACAGGAATTTAGAAAATGAGTCCACTAAAAATGAACAAATAAATGTATGTATAATAATAGTAATAGTAGTAGTGGATATATGTAAATAGAACATGTTAAGTTGTTAAGTTGTTAAGTTGTTAAGTTGTTAACCTGAATAGTAGCGAAACCTCCCTCAAGTCTAATAATCTCCCCAACTAACTGGTCGTGACCAACACGAACCAGTTCGTACATAGCAGCACCAGCCATGTGTTGGGCTGTGACAACTGGGAGAGTATCGTCCAATTAGTCAATTAGTTAATTTGTCGAATAGCTGAATAATTAATTAGTTTATTAGTGTTCATTGGTGACTGATAAATGTTTTAGTAACGGGTCAAAGGCCCAACTTTACCTGCTAATATAATAGTAAGACATGCGAAATATCGGGTTATTATTTCTCAGTTCAGTACAAACTGTACGATCAAAATCCAACTATCAGTTAAGTTATAGTTTCAAACTTTTTCCTTTTATTATTTGCAATGAATTTAAACCCACTTATGTTTGTTACATCAAACACAAATTATATATCACACCCTCAAAATGACATATTTTGTCTCATTTGAGATGCGGGTCTTATTTTATATCAGAAATACTAACCTAGATTCTACTTGTAAAAACATGATTCTCTGCCACTCTTATCAAAATATGATATCTAATAAGATAATTGAAGTCATATTTAATTACAACTTCTTAAAATGTGGAGACCATAAGAAGGAGCTTAAGGGGGCCGGGGGGGGTCTTCATCAAAATTCTCTCGAAATCGACTTTATAGTTGTTTCTGATAGAGGGGAGTGATATCTATTAGCTGCTTTTGGTCCCATGGAAAAATATTGTTCCTAGCTGAAATTATCGCCGGTCTAAGGTCAGCGCTTATGTGTAATTGTATTGCGCGAGCGATTTTCAATCGCAAATTCTGAAAATCGAGTCTAAAAATCTATCTTCTCCTACATTTTTTGAGCAATCACCGTGAAACTTTCAGGATATGTTCTAGGGACCATTTAAAAGAGAATGATCATACAAAATTTTGAGATAGGCCTTTAAAATTTTTTTATTCAATTTTGAAAAACTTGGACCTCAAAAAATCGTAAAAAAACGAGGTCCAAGATTTTCAAAATTGAATAAAAAATTTTTAAAGGCCTATCTCAAAATTTTGTATGATCATTCTCTTCTAAATGGTCCCTAGAACATATCCTGAAAGTTTCAGGGTGATTGCTCAAAAAATGTGGGAGAAGATATATTTTTAGACTCGATTTTCAGAATTTGCGATTGAAAATCGCTCGCGCAATACAATTACACATAAGCGCTGACCTTAGACCGGCGATAATTTCGGCTAGGAACAATATTTTTCCATGGGACCAAAAGCAGCTAATAGATATCACTCCCCTCTATCAGAAACAACTATAAAGTCGATTTCGAGAGAATTTTGATAAAGACCCCCCCCGGCCCCCTTAATCTGTTACTCCTCAATAAACAAAGTGCTTTAAAACTGGTCAGTATTTCTAAAAATAATATAAAAACTTACCAGGTCCCGAAACACCATAAACCGACCCATCAGTGAGAACTTCGTCAACCATTATGACCTACATAATGATAACCGATTAGATAAGATTAACACAGTATGGGGAGGGAGCGGGAGGGGGAAGAGGGGCTTGTCTCCCCAAATAAGTCTTATACTGGTTCTGACTACATAGCCAGTAATATGAAGCAACTCCTATAGTACATCTTGCTTTAATATGATAATTGAATGCTTAAAGGACTTTATTCTAAGATATATTACACTGCTTTCTTCAGAAAGCATAAAGATGTCTGAGAGTACTGGCATTTCTGACTAAATACCAAAGCTGCTATGTGGGTAGTGACTGTCTACAACAATGACAGGGGTCAACTCTGGGAGAGTTGAAAATCCAATTAAACAAAGTATCCTTGATGGTGTACTATCCTCATATAGCTATAGCTATAGCTATATGAGGATATAAAAAGTTGGGTGACTTGTCTGATTCTCCATTAAAAGTGTTGGAGGACCACAATGAAATAAATTGCTATAACAACAGGTATTGCGCCCGTTGTTTCGTTTTGGCGGACGCTAGATTTTCATTTCACTATAACTATTAATATAAGCTCTAATCAGCTCACCTTATAATAATAATATTGAAACATCAGTACACTACGCGTGCCACGTTCAAGTTGGGCTTATTACAAAATACTATACATTACTAATATACATTAAAATACGCTCGTGCTGCGCATTCATTGACCACAGACTAGCTATACACCACATCTCCACAAGCAATCCTCGCGCGCGTGTGCGCGGCAAGTTGACATGGTAACGAACGGAAGTAAGGAAGACGACATATATTTGACCCACCTACCGCTATCTCCAAAATCCACGTTTTTCTGCAAAAACGTCAATTCGTAACCTTTCACTATTGCCTTTTTACAAAAGGGTGAAAAGAAAAAAATATTAGCTAAGGCTGCAGCTGTGAATGTGTTGGTTGTGTGAAATTTGAGGTAACTCTTAGCAGCTATATTGCCCATGTTTTATCATTGCAACAATTTACTTTTTTTAACTGCTTCAAATTATGGTAAATAAAATTGTATGTAAAGTTTACTATTGTTGATAACATATCACTTTTTACCTTATTGCTAATAACATGAGCATATGTTTCATTTTCTTATAGAACACTGTAGTAGTAGTATAGTAGTAGTGTACAATTCAGTTTTTGCCATAAAAGCAACCAGTTGTACTGTCCCTTTACTATCCTTTCAGATGGGAAAAGAACACTACTATATAACAAATAATTTGAGGTATGTCCAATGAGCCAATGTCGCCTAATATGTCACCTAGTTTGGCTTTCTGATTCGGCTTCCTCAACTCCTTATGATAAGAAACCTCACACCTCTTCTTCAAGGTATGGCCTTCGACACCACATCAGATCAGAAAAACCTTTGTCAATTAAACCCTAAGTCCTAGTAGTAGACTCAATAAAAGTAGTAGACACATATCATTCAGTAAAAGTAGAAACTCCTAATATTCATAGCTCTGTTGACTGTTGAGGCACCAATCAGTAATGGAATTGACAATGATGCCCCCTGTTCTGTATCCATGTGGTAAATGCTCTCAAGTTGTCACTGGCCTCGATTGCATTGAGTGTGATGGTTCCTGTGGTAAATGGTATCATACCAAGTGTTGTATGCACAAAAAACGTATGGAAAACTTGGGCAACACTCAGAAGCAATGTGGGTATGTAAGAATTGCAAGGCCTTAGAGAAGAAACCGGCTAAGCTTGTTAAAGTAGTAAAATGGACCAACAACATGTTCCTAGTGCTGCGGGGTAAAGTGGGCAATACCTTCATTTATGAATTAAGCAGATTAATCAACCTGTTTAGTGTTTAATGACAAGACAGAATGGGAGAGTGTGGCATTAAGACTAGTATTCATCTTCATTCTTCATTCCAATGATGCTACAAAAACCATTAAAAAACTCACGGGTAAAGGATGACACCATCTATCTTGATAAAAGTCTCAAGTTGTGGAAACCTAGTGACTTGACTGCTATAATCAGTGAAGGGCGTGAGATTCAGAATCAACTTGAGGAGGCACGTAAAGCCCAGGAGAGATCCCTTGCTATCAAGTTTGCTCAGATCATGATCCATGGCAAAGTCTCAGCAGCAACGCCGGTCTCATAAATCGTCAAAGCCGTTGGATGTTGATGAAACGGTTATTGGACAGCTAAAGGAAAAACATCCATCTGCTATGACTGCAGCAGATAAAATTCTGATCACAGGTGATAAAGTGGCAGTCGAAGAAGTTATCTTTGAAGCCATTGATTCAAAATTAGTGGACAGCTGCTACCAACAACATGCAGTATGTTTGCCCACCGCTTGCTAAATACTTTGAGAACACCTACATAGAACCAACAGACCTACATGGCAAACAGTGAGGGAATGATTATCAAGAGCTGTGAAGGTTTCACTCAAGGAGACAATATTGACACTGGTGGATATGCTCTTAGCACCAAGCCACTTATTGACCGCCTGAGAAACATCATCAAGCAAGTGTGGTTTGCAGATGATAGTGCTGCTGGAGGGAAACTGGAAGCAGTGTATAAGTGGTGGAAGGAGTTGCTCCAAGTAGGACCTAAGTACGGTTATTTTCCTAACCCATCTAAGAGCATTCTAGTAGTAAAGGACCCTCAGATGATTGACCAGGCCAAGGCATTTTTTGGAGAGTTCAATATGCAAATAACATCAGGTACCAGGCATATTAGAGCAGTACTTGGCAATACAGGTGTCAAAGATCAGTACATCACAGATAAGGTTCAAGGGTGGTGTGACGACATCAAGATGTTAGCTGATATTGCAGAATCTGAACCCCAAGCAACCTACTCAGCCTACATCGCTGGCATCCAACACAGATGGAAGTTTGTTCAAAGGACTGTGCCACACATCTCTGAAGCCATGGAGCCGCTAGAAGACAAAATAAGACAAAAGCTTCTACCAAAGATTCCGGGCGGGGAGATCTAGGACTTAGAGAGAGATGTGTTCAATGAAACAATAAGTTTTATTTTACATTCCTTTCATAAATAAAATAAGAGCTTAAACCACGAATTAGTTAACTAGAAGTAAACTAGAGGAAATATTCTTTAGTGGTTGTATATAATTATTTAAAAAACTTTATTTGTTAGTATTTTTATTATGGAAAGTGGTTGAATTTAGTGAGACAAGGTCAGTTTCTCTATTGTCTCAGAAAAATTTCTACTTTACAGTAGGCAATGCTGAGTGGCAGGAATGACGGACCAAAACGCTTGGGGCTAACAATGGCCCATTTACAAACCACTTCAGACATGGCAATGATGTCATTTAAATGCTTAATTCATCTGAAACTGACCCTACTGCACTTCTAACATTCTATAAAAATCTCTTCTAAAATAGGTATAAAAATGCATAACACAAAACACACAAATAAAATGTTTATAATCCTAAACTATTTTCTAGCATCTTACTTGAGCGTCTCCTGCACTTCAAAAAGCTCTACTGCCCTGACCCAAAAGAACAACTAGGGTTCTCGAAGGGTGCTCAAACAAATGACCACGTTTTTACCCTTAAGACAGTCATTGACAAATATACCAAGGTTAAGAAAGCTCGCCTCTATGCATGCTTTGTTGATCTAAGAAAGGCCTTTGACACTGTATGTAGGGACCTCCTTCTGCACAAAATCACATGCCTTGGAATAACTGGAAACTTCTTCAATTGCCTAAGTGATATGTATAGAAACTCAATAGCTCATATAAAAATCTCCAAACTCTTGTCCCCTAATATTGACATTGGAAAAGGAACAGAGCAGGGACACCCCCTATCACCGGACCTTTTTAAAATCTATATCAACGACTTGTCATCTCTCCTGAAATCTGTTGGTGATTATCCTATTCTAGCTGACGTCCTAATATCACATCTGCTCTGGGCTGACGATCTTGTCCTACTTGCCCTAAGTCCCAAGGCCTTGCAAGACAATATAAACATCCTATTCGACTTCTGTAACTCTATGGGCCTTGAAGTAAACATTAAAAAAACCAAGATTCTCATATTCTGCCCTCCTAAAAGAAAACAATCCTATGAAACATTCATTTTGGGAGGCCAGCCCATCCAACACACCGAAAAATACTGCTATCTTGGCATTATATTCCACAGAAATGGATCTTTTACAGCAGCAAATACTGAACTGAGGGCCAAGGCTCTCCGTGCTCTCTATGGCCTCAAAGGCAATATCGTCAAAGATGCCCTCTCTCACCGTTCCCTAAACATTCTATTTGACTCTCTAATAAAACCGATACTGCTCTATGGCTGCCAAATCTTATTTCCTCACTCAAAAACCATGAGATACCTCTCCAAAACAGATAGCAAAGCCAACCCCCAGCATACTCTCAGGTACATCTCACAAGACCACTATGAAAGATTCCACCTTAAGTTTATCAAGTGGTCCTTGTCTGTCCATTCAAAAGCATCAAATATAGGCTGCTGGGGCGAAAGTGGGCGCCACCCCCTCTTCTTTGAAGCCTGCAAACTTACAATAGATTTCTATAGTCGTCTTGAAAGCACTGAAAATGAACTTCTCTCCGCTGCATTTCACGAGCAGATTATGCTGGGCCTTCCTTGGTACACCAACATCTCTAATCTTCTCACCAAATATAACTTCCCCCACTCATCCTCTTCAAAATCCAAGCTCTCTACCCAAATCAGTCACAACATGAGGGAAGAATTTGTGGATACCTGGAAATCTGCCAAGGCATCCTCACCTAAATTAGAATTCTACAATCAAATTAAACATGATTTTGAACCAGAAACATACTTAGGAGTGGTTAAGATCCCCGATGCTCGGAAAAGCTTAACAAGGTTTCGTATTAGCTGCCACAATCTTTACATTGAGAGGGGCCGTTACGAAACCCCCCTAGTACCAAGAGAACATCGATGGTGCACTTTTTGCTTTTTCAGCAAGGGGCTTAAGCCTATTGAGGACGAAATTCATGTTCTAACTGACTGTTTACTCTACTCCTCAGTTAGAGAAAAATTTAACTTCCATCCCAAAAATATTACTGACCTAGC